TTTTCTTGTCAGGATATACACTTCGTTACTTATGTGGGCCTCTGGTGAAGGAAGTAATAATAAACATCATATTGGAGTTCATAAATTGTATTAATACTATTATTTCTGTTTAAGCAATACAACAAATACAGTGGTTCATGAAACCAAATACGTTAATAATATATACAATAAGTAATACGGCAAGGTGCATTACTTGCACTGAGTTGATAAAATAATTCTTCTAGCGCTCGGTGCAAGAAAATCTACTTGGGACACGGCATTCTAATACTCTTCATACTTGGTGCAGGAAAATCTACTCGGGACACTGCATTATAAAACTCTGCATACTTGGTGCGGGAAAATCTACTTGGTGCACTGCATTATAAAACTGTGCATACTTGGTGCAGGAAAATCTACTTATAGCACTGCTTAGAATACTCGGTGCATGGTTAGCGATTTACCCGAGCAAACAGTACGTCAGCATCTTTATATGAAGACTTGGTTAATTATCAAGTCTATTAAATAATATCACCAAGCACTTTTACTTGGTGCAGCAAATTATAATTTGAAAGATACTGCTAACTGCATGGAGGTTCTTGGAGAGAAGCTCCCAGTAGGAACATGCGCTCCGTATTTTATACATAATCGTCGTTACGTGTGACGTAATACACAAGTTATTTATAAACAAGAACAGGAACACGTAACGTTATATTTGGCGCGTTATACTGAAACTAAGTATAAACAAATACAAAATGAACAATTAAACACATAAATAAAGTCGATATATAGATTTAAAGAAGTCAGTATATAATGTAAGGTCCAGGTAAGCTATTTCTTCTGTAAAATACGAATCAGAACACAACAACGGACATCTGCATGTATCAAGTATGGAACGGAGACCACAGTGATAATGTAAACACATCTATCTTATTTACACAAGTTAAACCACAGTAAAATTATCAGCTTTCAAATCACCGGGGCGTAACACTACCCCCTACCTTATATAAAAAGGATTTGTCCTCAAATATGAGAGTATGTATGTCATGCAGATGTCATTTCATAATGTAATATAAAATCAACATAGAATGTCTCACTTCGTGAGCAACTTGGTAAAGGTAGTCTCTTGGTGTAAGATTAAAACTAATAATGTTTAGTAAGTCTTGGTGTAAGATTAAAACTAATAATGTTTAATAAGAAACACATCATAGAAATATTAAATATAACAATCCATCATCCAATCATGCAGGTATTTCCACTCTTCATACTGTCTTCCTCTTCCTCTTCATCGTCTTCTGTAAAATGTTTAATATATTGATTCGGTACTTTACATAACTCCCAATAATTATATTTTGTGGTGATAAAAAGTCCTTCATCAATATTAAAGTTAAATAAAATGTTACAGCTATACAAATTTCTTTATGGTATTCAATGAATGGTTAACTCGCCACTTCAAGCCTAGTTAAAAATCAGTTCATATACAATTCTTGTTATGGTTGACACAAAAATATATACTAGTAGCTGATATTACAATTCGGTATCCAAATAAGCAACAGTATTCCACAGACTGTATACCAGTCACAGGACTATACTGAAAATTCACCAGTACTCCACAGATATCTTCATCACAGGACGTACGGGTAACACCCTTAAAATATATCAGTTTTCCACAGACATTCTTTCGTCACAGGAAACGACTTCAAAAATATAACATTAGCAACTATATTCCATAGACAATATACCAGTCACAGGACTATACTGCTCCTAAAATATGGTATATCACAGATACTCGATCACAGAAAATACTCATAAAAAATCACCAATACTCCACAGATATCTTCATCACAGAACGTACGAATAACACCCTTAAAATATATAAGTTTTCCACAGACATTTTCCGTCACAGGAAACTTAAAAAATATAAACAACCAACCATTCTGCTAATTCGTGATAAAATGAATATATATCAGTGACAAGAATTACTAACACACCATTCATTGACTTGTATTTAGTTCCTGTGACTTACATCCGATATGATAGAATAATACTTGTCCGGTTCCATGGTTTCATTTTTACTCATGGAGTGTGACTAACCCTATTATTTACACATCGGGCAGTTACAGAGACATTTACAATTTCTGCGTGTGTTATTATTGTGGTCAGTGTATAGTGGTAAGTTCGGACCACCACTATTTCTTGCACATTTTACTTCGACAGCATTATATTAACGACAGGAAGACAACAACAACTAAACAAGCTTTTGTTTCTACTTTTCAGCATATTTATGCATTACATTCAGGAATAAATATACAAAAAAAATTAAAAACACAAACATTAAAACAAAATTATACGAAACCAATATTAATAAAGTTATTCTCTATTAGGACAAGCTTTTCTGACATGTCCCTTTTCACCACAGCGAAAGCATTTATTCTTTATCCCAACTGAAATTCCAGCGACTTCGTTAGTTAAGCTATGATACCTTATTCTATCTGCTTGGTTAAAAGTATCAAATCTAATTGCTAAAATTTCAGCTTCATTGATATTTTTAGGCCTTGATTCTCGTATTCTGAGACGCATTTCAGGCTCATGTAATGCATCTATAAATTGGTCCAAAGTAAATATATCTGTTACAGAGAAAAGGAACACCAGGATAAGCACAGCGAGTCATTTTTTTCAATATCTTGACTGAGGGCAGATAGAGATTCATTACCTTTTCTCACTCTAGTCTGTAGCTGAGCTCGAAATATCTCAGACCTATGAACTGAACCAAATCTATTATGAAGGGCATCAACGAGGCTATCAAAATCTCGCCTTTTAAACTCGTTTAATTCATTTAAAAATTGGCTCTAGCGCCACCTTTCAAACTGCTAGCCAGACAGAGTGACATTGTATTATAGTCCCAACCATTAACTTTGTGTTTTTGTGTAATACTAGCATAACAACTTGGATGAGATTGTATTCCCCTGGTATTTTAACTATTATTGTAATTTTGATAGCTGCTTGTTTCAGAATTTGAAGGTATACATGTTGTATTTTGGAGCGGTTTAGGTTCTTGTACTGCATGTGTTTTTATGATTTCAGCTTCTGGAACAATAATTTCTGATTTTTCAGATTGAATTTGATCAGATTTACCCTTTTGTTTATTAAATTCTTCTCTTAGATTAAATATTTGTTCTCTTAAATTTGATACAGAACTGAATATTTGTTCCTCCAAATGAATTTTCAAATGTGTGATTTGATTTTGAAATCTGTCTTCCATCATAGAAAGATTTGCTGCATTTTCTTGTGTCACCATATGAAATGTGTCCCTTATTTGATTTGTGAGTGATTCAAATATTTCTCCTACTGAAGGAGAAATAGCTGGTGAACCATTAGATTGATGGGCTGCTTGAATAGATTCATAAGAATTCTGCGCACTTGTTCTCATTTCATGTGTATTATTCACCACTGTATCATCACTAGCAATTGATGACCTATCAGTTGGATTAAATTGAATTATATCATACTGCAAAGAATCATCCATTTTAAAACATTTTTATTTTTCAAACTTCACCAGATAATTTTTTTTTATAATTAAAAAAATTAATATCCCACTTCTGACATCAGTGTAACGTTCCGGGGTTTTCTTGTCAGGATATACCCGTCGTTATTTTTTGTGGGCCTCTGGTGAAGAAAATAATAATAAAAAAACATATTGGAGTTCATAAATTGTATTAATACTAATGATTATTTCTGTTTAGCAATACAACAAATACAGTGGTTCATAAAACCAAATACGTTAATATTATATACAATAAGTAATACAGCAATGTGCATTACTTGCACCAAGTTAATAAAATAATTCTTCTAACGCTCGATGCAAGAAAATCTACTTGGGACACGGCATTCTAATACTCTGCATACTTGGTACAAGAAAATCTACTTGGGACACTGCGTTATAAAACTCTGCATACTTGGTGCAGGAAAATCTACTTGGTGCACTGCTTTCTAATACTCAGCATACTCGGTGCATGGTTAGCGATTTACCCGAGCAAACAGTACGTCAGCATTTTTATATGAAGACTTGGTTAATTATCAAGTCTATTAAATAATATCACCAAGCACTTTTACTTGGTGCAGCAAATTATAATTTGAAAGATACTGCTAACTGCATGGAGGTTCTTGGAGAGAAGCTCCCAGTAGGAACATGCGTTCCGTATTTTATACATAATCGTCGTTACGTGTGACGTAATACACAAGTTATTCATAAACAAGAACAGGAACACGTAACGTTATATTTGGCGCGTTATACTGAAACTAAGTATAAACAAATACAAAATGAACAATTAAACACATAAATAAAGTCGATATATAGATTTAAAGAAGTCAGTATATAATGTAAGGTCCAGGTAAGCTATTTCTTCTGTAAAATACGAATCAGAACACAACAACGGAAATCTGCATGTATCAAGTATGGAACGGAGACCACAGTGATAGTGTTTACACATCTATCTTATTTACACAAGTTAAACCACAGTAAAATTATTAGCTTTCAAATCACCGGGGCGTAACAATAATAATAATAACAAAAATTAAAAATAACTTTTTTAAAAGAGATGATAAACAGCATTAAATGCACAATCTTTTTCACGGATGATCTTAATTAACTTATATTGTGTACCTAGAGAATAATCGTTGTAGGACGATTATATATGCGAACGAAGGGTGGGCTATACACCAGAAAATGCTGTCATAGATCAGACCTCAATACTAATGCTATCATATGTTATAAAGAAGCTTAGTTTCAGCATTTAAAACAACCTGATCATTCAATCCTATTTATGCTGGTTTGCATTACTGAAACAGCTCATGATAGTAATGAAAATGTGATGGCAAAGATAAAATTGAGAATGGAAATGGGGAATGCGTCAAAGAGACAACAACCCGGTCAAAGAGCATAAAACAGCCAAGGTCATCATTGGGTCTTCAACACAGCGAGAAAAATCCCGCGCCCGGATATATATACAATTAAGTACTTTATTATGAATGGATCATCGATTTTGAAGGAACAAAGATCTTCGTCGTCAGTAAGTGGGTTGGATCATCAGCGTAAACTCTGCAATGGTCTTCGTCATTATAAATAACCAACATTTCTTTTAAATGTTCTTCAACTCAGTGATGTGATGGATTCTCAGCATAAACGCAGCAATGTTCTTCGTCAGTATATGTAACCCACACTTATAAATGGCCCTCAGCTCGGTAATGTGATGGATTATCAGCATAAACGCAGTTTGGTCTTCGTCAATATATTTCACCCACACTTAGTGATGTTATTCAGCAGTAAAAGTGATGGATCCTCAGCGTAAACCTAGCAATAGTCTTCGTCATTAAATGTTATCCACTCTTTATAATTTATACTTCATCATCTAAGTAGTTGTTTAAGATGCCAAGCGCAAACTCCGTAATGATTTTTGTCATTTTATGTCATCAACATTTTCATAATGACGTTTAGCTGTGTAAATGTGATAGAATCGCCATGGTCTTCATCATTATATGTTATCAACACTTTATGATATTTTTCAGTTTAGTAAACGTGATAGATCTTCGGCGTAGACACAACAATGGTTTTTGTCATTATATGCTACCCAAACTTCTTAATATTTTCTGAATGTATTACCCGACGGTCCAAAATACCGTGAGTCTTAATTCAATTATTTGATACATATCTTAAGAATACTGTTGAAAATTTATGATTTTGCAAAACAGAAGGAAATACGCAAAAAGTAAGCAGATATTAAGGAAACAATAGCTAAAACATAATTAGTAGGAAGACAGACACCCCCCCCCCCCCTGGTTTAAAGCAGACGAACAGACAAACGTCTAAGAATTATATTACTGACCAGAAACGTCGAAAAATTGACCGACACAAATATGCAAAGAACTCAACTATCCAGGAAGGATAACCAGTTACTGGCACTCATGCTGAAAGTGAAGAACTACTTTCTGGTTGTGTTGAAAATGTTATGTCAATAGAGTTATAATTAAAAAACTTACGCATGTATGATAACTGATGCAATATTCATCTCTAGTAACCAAAATAAGGATTTGCGACCGTATTGACTACATGAAAAGTATGTTTGTGTCCCCTGACAAGGTTTCAAAAAAACATGTGTGTGTGGAAATACCTTATTATGAACCATTTCATGAAGTAATTAGGTACTGACAATTCACTTTGAAACTAAGAATATACACAAACAACACATATTACAGATGATATCATGAACAATCAAATATACATGTGTAAAATTGCATTGGAATTTTAACCAAAGTCAACAAGATCTCTCGTAACTGTACGGCGACCAAATTCTTGCAAATACGTGATATAGCTATAAAAATAAAGAGATGTGGTATGATTGCCGTCTGTATTAAACGTCTTACCAATTAATTACCTCCTTTTCTATCACAAATCAAACTGGCCTTCAGGGATATAGTATACATAACTATAAGAAAACGATAAATCACTCTTTAAGAAAAATTTTAACAGGAAGAATCTGATAGTTTAAAAATTTGTTGAGTTGGTAGTTTATCTCCTCGTCCAATGAAATTCTTTAGCTGGTTTAGGCGTTCATTTTATGCTGATTTGCGTCTTATTGCTTTTTGTATTTTATAACACTTTGGTATATTTGGTTACGAGCACTACTAACGTGAAAGGAACATATAGGGCATCAAATTAATTTGGTATCTTGTTATTAAATATTAGTGCCAATAAGTCAATGACATTGGTGATACTGATGGATGGCAACTCACCGAGTTTATAAATAGATCGCAAGCCAGTGTCTTTGCACTGGCATGATAAAACTTTTATGTTGAAACTTAGAAATTTTCAGTCGACAAAAAGATGAATTAGATTAAATTCATAGGTTAATTTCGGAATGCAATTGTTATTCATAACTGTTTCTTTTTTCAAAATATTCTTTTTTTTTATGTTCTTTGTTTTTTTTGTAGAGTGTTATTTCGATTAAATGATGTTCAACCATTAATACTTCGGTATTGCCAATATTTTGTTTCGAGTACCACTGTTGGGAAATTAATTTTCGAAGCATCAGATTACATTTGTTATCTTGTAATTATTACTGACTATATTGTATCAATAACTGAAATTGAACAAAATATATCTGATTATTTTTTAATAAAGATGGATTAAAAGACCTAATGTATAAAGAATTTGATAATGCATAAATAAAATATTTTTGAATTAAAAATAGTATTTGGGATAAATGTAAAAAGAAACTAGTAACCAGGGCTCACGCCAGTTTTAGTGTTGACAAATTTTATTTGCAAAATATCTTAAAAGGTTCAAACTAAGATCGTCTTCTCTTAAGATTCAATATTAATCAACAGGACTACATACCATGCTAATAATTACATTCATTATTACACAATTCCTTCCAAACACCTGTAGTTTAAGAGACATGTAAACAAACAAGATAGAAAAGGAAAGAAATGAAAAAAAAAGAAAAGAAAAAATGTATGTGTGTTAGTGTGTTTGTGTGGATAATTACATTCATATCATACACATGGTTAAACACGGCATCGATTGGTCTCTTTTTATATAGTCAAATGCATTTCTAAAAATGTCTTCATTTCGCTCATTTGTCAGTTACTTACTACCAGTTCATGCAGATGTTATAACTCCTAGATGCAATACAATGTCTTTGGTAACCAGTTAAAACTATTCATCAGAATATGACGTAAATGTGTATAAAAAGACAATGAAAGAAGAAATGATAAAAATCTTCACGGTTTCTTGAGGTTTCTGGGACCAAAGGCATAGTAACTAGTCACTGTTTTATTTTATACTCCAGAACACTTTTATAAGTATTTACATAGCGTTTCTGTTTTACGAAAAGATATGTCTTATCTATTCCATAGCCTTACAGTTGATGGGATAAATGAGTCACTAATTATCGAAAGTCTACAAAAAAGTTACATAATATCGTCACCATTTCTCAAAGGATATGTAGTAGTACTTTGTGTTGATAGTGAAATTAAACCGCAAAGATAATTACGTTTAGCTTTGTACAACGTTTTCAGTTTATTTCTACTGCAACGATCTTAGGGAGAATATCATCAAATGTCTTTATAAAATAAATATCAGTTTTGTTTTTAAATATTGTTCAGTCAGTAATAATTCTTTTAGCTTCAAATTGCAATTTTTCTAGTTTGTTAGCATAAACAATTCCACAGTCGTCCTAAATTTCACTGGCATATTAAAATAAAATGGTGAATATTGTTGCCCCTTAAATCCGATTACGTCAACGTTGGTTAATTCTCTGTTCAATTATGAATGCTATTATTTTCAATACATTTTCAAATTTACAAATACAATTTAATATTTTTTATAATTATAGTTTGAAAAACTTATCCTTCCGATACAAGACATGCATTAATATTTTCCATTTTAAACTTTCCATTTTTATTCCAACCGCGCCTGCATATATTCCCCAGACGAAACTTGCGTACTTGAGTCTTCTTTTTCGATGTTCTTTTTTTTTACTTTTGGAAATTGTATTGTCTAACTTTCCTCGATATTTGATCATTGCCACTTTATTGTCCTATTACATTGTTTTAATTCTGTGACTTTGTGTATGTTAAAATATACTTTTAACCAACGCTTTAAACTTTATAAGATAACTTTTAACTCTATAATGACAAAAACATGTGTGTCAGAGCAATAGAAAAAATCAATCGATTTTAGTTTAAAGCCCCCATTTATGCTGCAATCATTGTTCACTTTACATTAACAAGATGATAGCCTTAAAGAAAACACAGTTTAAATGGTTTATATAGGAATTATAAAAATTAAAGACACATAAAACATAGTGGGAATATTTGTTTAATAATAGTGTTTATAAATTTTTCAAAGAAAAGGTTGTTTATCGGCAGTATCTTCTAAAATAGACGCAGGTATTTTAGTACAAATAGATGATAAATAGTGGTTATCGTAAAAAAGAAGGCTCATCTTTCCATGTAGGGGTGTTCAGATCCCATTCTAAGCTTTGCTTGTTTATTTTGATAGAACAAAAATAATTGTGAAACAGTATCTGTTGAATACACTATTATTAAAGTCCAAGTTTGACCTAAAAGTATCCAATCTTGAAGTAACGTAGCATATTTTCCTACAGCCTACATTGTAATTACTTAATATGTTAGTTGACATAAGTAGATTATATGTACCTCAACATATTCTATATAAATTATATTTGGTTTAAGATTTTATATTAAACAAAGGAGAACATGGAATAAGAAAAATGACAGATGTCAATAATGGTTTCGGAAACATTCATCCGAATGACTAAAATTTTAAAACAAAGTAAAGATTGGCGTGTGTGTGGTATTTTACTTTCATATTCAAATACGTGTGTGTGTGTGTGTGTTTGTTTGTGTGCTGTTGTGGTTTTTTTTTATGTTTTATTATAAAATTATAAGTCGATGCTACCTTTTAGATAAGCTTGTTTCTAAATAATTTATAGAAAATAAAATGACAAACCAGAAGAAACCTCGTAAATATGTACATTAAAAAATAAAAAAAAAAAAGTTTAGATTTAATTAGTTTTTGCCGGAATCGTTTATTCAAATCTGATGTTCTGTTTTCTTAAGATAAAATTGGTAAGAACTTGTTTGATCTTAAGACATTATTAAAAATGAAAATAAAATAGAAATGGGATGTCTATACATGACCTTTTTGCCAATTATAATGTATTTCTTATATATACAATGGTGTAGTTGAACATTGAAAAAAGAACTGATTGAAAATTAAAACGAACTCCTACAGTATCAGACGTTTACGTTCAATTACTTTAAGGATTCCTACAATTCCTCCAGTCAAATTCTTTCATTAGTTTTATTGATCAGTAATTTTTGTCAAATGGTATCATTTTGTCACGTTAGCAGTGAATGGCATGATATAATTGTTAATGATTTCCATGCTAACAGTGTTTCAGGAGGTATAGAAGAAAAAAATATTTGAATGATCAATCAGGCATCTATAAAATCCAATACAAAGGAGATATATTGTTACAGCAATGAATACATTCAGCGATAGTATAACTAGTATTAACTATAATAATTTATATGAAGATGCATCAAATTACAGCAACTTTATATACCCGGTTAATAATTACACCAAGTATGACGAGACAACTAATTTTACTTTTAAGGAATTAAATTCGGAAATTAAAACTTCAGTGGACAATGCTACAATGGAAAATTCGTCGTATTGGGATTACGAGTATAACTATGATTATGATGCAGCAATTACGCACCTGCCTCTAAACGAATTAATACCTGTGACAATCTTCTACTCTATTACACTTTTATCCGGACTTGTTGGGAATATTTTAGTTATAATATCTGTTGCACGATTCAAGAAAATGCAAAACACAACAAATACATTTCTTTTGAGTCTTTCCACTGCAGATCTCTTACTAATTGTTATTTGTGTACCTGTAAAGGTAAGACTATAACTCTATTGTTATCTGTGTAAATAAGTTTTAGTCTTTAACGGTCATTTTGATCTTAAGACGTTAAGTCTCGTAAAGAGTTTAAGTATAGTTCAGATATTATCTTGTTGTAAATTCAGTACTGTTAAGAAATGTAGCTTGGAGTAAATCTGGTACTGTTTAATATATGTTCAGAAAATTCAGTGTTGTTGTTTTGTAAAAGTAAATAACATTTACATTTAAACAGACTTATTAAGAAGGGATATAGTTACGATACTGTTGTCAGGTCATTAAAGATTGCATATTTTGGCTTTAATATTGGTTCACTTATAGGGTCTTTGCATCGGAATTAAACATATTTATTCTAAAACCAGTTGTTGGCATGACACGGGTTATGTTCTTCTCATATATTTTATGATGGTATAATACTTAACCCCTAACAGGAGGAATTGTGCCTGATATTCATATGATGAAGACATAATCTTTCAATCAGTTTAATTGAGGTCTGGAGCTGGCATGTCAGTAACTGCTAGTAGTCTGTTGTTATTTATGTATTATTGTCATTTTGTTTATTTTCTTTTGTTTCCTATTCTGACATCGGACTCGGACTTCTCTTAAACTGAGTTTTACTGTGCGTACTGTTGTACGTTTGTTTTTTCTACATTGGCTAGAGGTATAGGGGGATGGTTGAGATCTCAAAAAACATGTTTAACCCCGCCGCATTTTTGCGCCTGTCCCAAGTCAGGAGCCTCTGGCCTTTGTTAGTCTTGTATCATTTTTAATTTTAGTTTCTTGTGTATAATTTGGAGTTTAGTATGACGTCCATTATCACTGAACTAGTATACATATTTGTTTAGGGGCCAGCTGAAGGACGCCTCCGGGTGCGGGAGTTTCTCGCTGCATTGAAGACCAATTGGTGGCCTTCGGCTGTTGTCTGCTTTATGGTCGGGTTGTTGTCTCTTTGACACATTCCCCATTTCCATTCTCAATTTTATTTACTGAACAGTCTTGAAATAGGCGGAACAGATCTTAATTGACTGAAAGCGAATTTTCTCAACAAACCTGAATTTACTGCAGTGGATGAGTCTAAAATTGACTTAGAGATTCACATGCCTTAATAATGTTTTGTTCAATCATTCAAAAGATGTTTCGATCAAAATGGAAGTATCAGTTGAGAATTGGTTTACTAGTGATACCTTTAACTCTATTTGTATACCATATTTTATCAACCAACTACTTAAAATATCGCCTCCACATAAAGTTAATTTATACTTAGAAAATACATTATTAGCTTTTAAAGTAATGACTTAGTAGGTTAAAGAGTGAAATCACCTCATACCTCCCTTTTTTTCTCTACAAGTTTGGGAATATATTAATTATTTGTGCATATATATGAATGAAATATTTCCATTATAGGTTAAGCAACAATCCATTAATGAAATTTATATTATCATCTTAAGGGCATACGATACAGTTACATGGGAGGTAATGACGTTGCTAACGTAAATTGCTATTTTCGCGACGTCAAACTGTGACTTATCGGGAAAAGATGCAGTTTTCGACTGATTTTTATCATTCAAACTGATTTAACTTGAAAACGAGTTCATGGACTCCTCTTTTTTAAAATGACATTTGTTTTGATTACGTATGAAGATTATGTTTACCAATTTTCATGAAAAAGTCAATAGTGCAATTTTTTTAAATTTGATAAATATACAGCAAAAAATGACGTTTTTTTTCTACAATCATAATCATTTGATTAATATGAGTTATTTGTAAAAATGAAATGTACAAATTTATAAAACATTTATATAAAACAGAAATTACAAATGATTTAACAAAAAACAGCTTGCATTTATCTTTTAAAACAAAAAAAATATGTATTTCTATCGAAAAGAAAAAAAACGTCCACAAATCCGAAATTTGAGGAAATATCTGAAATTTCAACCTCAATTTACTCAAAAAGTAGCACATGATGGTATATTTTTTATTTCATATTTGATTTAATCAGGTAAAAATTAGCCTACATGCAAATTTTCATCAAAATTTCATTATGGGATCAAAACTGTATCGTATGCCCTTAACACTGTAATGGAAACTTCTCTAACTAATGAAATGTACAAAGATCTTGCAATGAATGTATGTTTGAAACCAGCAAGGCTTCAAACCTTTCATTTTAGCATAGTAGATTTATAGCTAAAAGCTATGATTTGTTGTTGTCGTTAGTGTTCTCATTCTCGGGAATAAAATCGATTCACTTATTTACGGTTTAAAGCACGATTAATAAATTTTGTACGCAAATTAATTTTGAGCAAAATAATTGAAAATTTAATAAAGAAATTCATATTAACAATTTCATATTGGTAAACCTTTTGTAAAAACCAATTACATGCGATTATCACCATGTTATTATTGTGTCGCAACGCTGTTAAAAACTACAAATGTAATACAAGAATACGTTTCTTATAGAACCAAGACCGTTATCCAAAATGGACCCCTTTCGAAGACATGTAGACGACTTTTTGTCATATAAACTAATCTAAAAAAAAGCCTCTGGTAACATGGTGGAATACAATTGTAAAACAGAAACCAAACAAATAATGGACCTTATTGATTCTGGAAAAGACAAATAAAAAACTTTGCAAAAGCTCATTAAAGATACAAGGCGTATAATTTAGTACGCCAGACACACGATTCGTCTATTATTCAGTGGCGCTAGACTAAAAACAGCCGAAATACTGAGTGTGCTTCTTCTTACAGTGGCATTAAATTAATTCTATTCCGAATAAGACATTCAAATGAGACTAAACGGACTATAAACTAATATATGCATTAGCATGTTGTTATGCCAATTCAAGAATTGGTCAGTTGTTAAATGTTTAATTTTTGAAATTATTGGGTTTTTTACGTGTGTATTTAAATAATAATTTAAATGTTTTTGACGGAGAATCGGAGAAGTTACTGTCGAAAGATTCACTTTTCGCCAAGAATCGCGAGCCAACCTGGTGTGTTTAAGTGAATTTGCATTAAGAACAATAGGATGTAGATTGTGTTCCATTGTTTTTGCATTTACTATATATGCAAACAGATATTGAGTATAATACTTACGTCAATAGTGAGATGTACTCTTTATCTAGTTAGACACAAAACAAGAGACTCATAAATTTCCTCACATAATTTCTTAAAAGTTATTTGAAATAATTTAAAAAGTGCCCCAGATTTATTTTTATTTCTTATCAATCGTATTTCCTTTGCCCAAGTTACGTATCTATTGATATTTAGCTTCGTAATATTATCATAACAATCTCTCGAAGCATTTTTGTGATATTATCTTTTCAATCATAGAAAGCATTCTCAAAAAGATCGAAAACAATAGACTGTACGGAAACAAATTATCTCTGGAAACAACTTGAATTACTCGTTCTATTTATACCGGAATTAAGATAATTTGATATCAAAATCTACGTTGTCCAGACATAATCCAATTTGATAATATTAAGTTAAATGTCATACGTCGTTAAACGTTCAAACTTGTTATTGGAATGCGGTTTTTCGTGTCAAATCGCTGTTTATGCTGTATATTGCCATGATATTTCTATAATAAGCTAGAAACAGGTTGTAAGAGCTCTTGATGTGTTGAATATTACAGAAAGAGTGGTACATACTGGCGCATTTGTGTTGTGTGTAACAGAAGATCATGATTTAAGAATCACACTGCCTCCTCCGGGACTCGAATCCGGGACCTTTGTATTCGAAGCCAGTACTCTAACCGACTAAGCTAAATAAAAAGTACTCACCTAGCTCAAACGCATACGGCTAGTATCTACTATATATGGGAAGGAATCCCGTCACACTCCCCGCACCTCAAGAGTCGTCATACCAATATGTCTCTCACAACACATACATGCTAGATATCATCACTTAACCACTGTGGGATTTTTAATTGGGCTCCAAATATAACCAGAGAGTATGATTATGAATAGAAAATCACATTGTCTCATCCAGGACTCAAACCCAGGACCTCTGTATACATAGTCAGCGCTCTAACCGACTGAGCTAAAGAAATACTTCCCGAACTCAAACGCTTACGGTGGCTAAGTATCTACTATGCAAGGAAAGCAATTCCGTCATACTTGTTTATAAAGGAGGGGGAAAATCTTTGCAATTGGCAGTAATGTTCTTTTTTATACTGTAGGCATGTTAGTCATCTCTATGTCTGAAAACAATTAACTGACTTTCACTCATGTTTAAATAACAAATAAACCTTTTTATAGGTTTAAAAATTGATGTAACTACGACGAAAAGTATGTATTAGTTAAAGCAAATGAAGGGATCATTAAAATTTAAAAAAAAAAAAGTTTTTTAAGGTGTTTTACGGGCTAGCTCAAATATGTTTTGCCTTCCTCTTTATACAAAACATCCGTATGACCCTTTGTACGAATAAACCATTTAATACAGCAAAATATATCTTAGCACAGCAATATGACTAAATAAAATCGTTAACTACCTACTGTAAGATATATCGATTTACCAAAACTTTTACTTTGAATATATCAAATATTTACCAATAACTGTGCTTTTCTAGATTTAGATATTTCAGTTTTACACGAGAACCTCTACACAAAAATTTACAACAAAAGGGACGATTTTTCTTTCCCTAATGTTAATTTTTCATTTTTTGGACGGTGATGTTCCTTTGCCTCCTGCATACGGTGTTTAAATATCACAACTCGTTCGCTGTGCCCGCGTCTGTAGTGAGCGTAATCTATGTATTACTGGCAAATTTTTAAGTCAGGGATTTCGTTACAACAAATGAATTAAAACCTTTTAAGAAAATTCCTACATAGATACAAAGATTTGGTTTGCAAGTTTGTTCCTGTAGAAAACTTATTTCTAACGGAATAGTTCATCCTAATTTTTACGGGAATGTTTTTCTCTGACTGTTAAAGACGTCTTTACACTAAATCCATTGTATGTTGGATATGTACTAATTGGTATTTTAGTCTTAGAAA